CCCCAAAACCCCAAAACCCCAAAACCCCAAAACCCCATCAAATCATATTTGATAAGTTCAAAAGCAAAAGATAATCTTGAATAATTAATAACATCACTTTTTCTTAGCTCCACTTTTTTGATTTTGTTTGTTCGAGTTTGCCGATGTTGTAGTGTTCGATGCATTAGATCTAAGATTTTATTTTTTTTCATGTTTGACAGTAAAGAAATCCTCAACAAAGCTATCGGAGACTTACTCAATCACTTTAATATCAAATTTTTTTTCGTGCTTTGCTTTTTGATTATTATTATAGTTTTACTATACTTGCTTTAAACTCTCCTATGCTTGTTTTGCATCAAATTTAATGCCAGCATTGATCAGTGATGAAGTACTTCCTGAGTCTTCAACAAATTAATAGACACTGCTTGCACCTATTGAATCTCGCTTCCGACTTTACATTACACTTCCTATATTATTATTCATAGCACTATCAAAAGCATTTGGATTAATCTTAGGATTCGGATTGAAAAATGCCTAACTGAGCTTTTGAAATTTATCTGCTATCTAGGATTCTTCTTCATATGACTTTCTTTATTTCCTCTTATTTGTTATCCATTAATCCTCAATTATAGAATTTTCATTCGGATCCTTTGAAGGGGAAGACCTTTTCTTAGTATTTCTCATACTGAATAAATCTCTAAGTGAGCTACTGTCATCAATACTCTATTACTTGTCAATTGGATTTTATTCTATTTCAAAGAAAGATTCATATGTGCCACCAAATCTTTACAATTATTGCTCTAACTTTAACTACGGTTTACTATTGCTATTTATCTACTTTTAATTTAATTGTTTATTGGGAATTTGCAACTAAACTTGATCTTTTTTGTTATTTGAAAGCTTAATTGAGTTCTACTTTTATTGGTCTTATTCCTACTATTTCCTTGCTTCTTCTCTTTCTTTAAGTATATCCCTCTATCCAAACTACAAAATAGATTGTTATGCCTATCCTTATCTCCTTGGTGCCATTAATTGTTCAATTTGTAACTTGAAACTTGTATTCTCTCCAAGTAAATCTTCAATGACCTTATCTTTTTCAGTAAGAGATTGCAACAGATTTTCATAAGATGTTTCTTGCTATTTTAATTACTCCTTTAACTAATGTGACTCATCCTCTAAATCTTCAACCTTTTAGTTCAAGTTCATATTTTTCTTGATAAGCAGGCCAATATAATGGGCAGTCTCTTAGAATCTAGAGCCAAATTAATTATAGATATTGAACATCTAATCGTATCTATTGAATAGACTTTCATTGATTTAATCATCACTTAATGAATTTTCATCTCCAATTAGTATATTGCTAGGCTCATCTAGCTAGTCTTCTTCGTGTGGCATTTCTATTATTTGTGGTTAGGGAGCATTATTTAGCTATCTCTTAGATCCATGCTAAGATTTTTAAGATTATTTTGAACTCATTTAAATTTAAATATAATTTGCTGATATTTTTATCTTTAATTATACAAATTATAAGTACCAATAAATTTCAAAGCGGGGTTTTGGGGTTTTGGGGTTTTGGGG